TTACCTTTAATAACAGCTAGACACATACTCTGACGGGTAAAATTACGTGCCAAACCATGCTACCTTTGTGAATGTGACCTACAAGCATACTTTAACGGCTAAAGTGAAGTGACAAACCGTCCTGGCTTTATAATTATGAGCTATAAGCATACTCTGATGGGCAAAGTTAAGTGGCAAACCGTCATACCTACTTACATTTGTGCTGGAATAACTCTGTGACAGCAGAAATGTGCATAAACTACTTACAGTAGGACGTTTTGTCAGAACACCAGCAGCCTCAGTCAGTGCGCCCCAGGGCAGCTGTGGCTATAATGTAGCTTGCCATCACGTGTGTGTGAATGAATGTAGTGTAAAGCGCTTTGGGGTCCTTAGGGACTAAGTAAAGCGCTATACAAATACAGGCCATTTACCAGTTTATCATTCCTGTTCTGCTAGTTCAAGACTGTTTATGGACCCTAATATGAGATTTTCACTGCTATGCAATTGATACCCACTTTTATTGGTTAAACTGCAGGGATGTCTTAAATCTCTTTATCTCTGCTGTGAACTTCACATGAAGTTTGTGTTAATAAAATCAAACTAATGCAGATCTTCTTTGAAAAATACACACTCACAAGACAAAATAAAAACAGACTGCTCAAAGTAAAAGCAGAGCCCCCCCCGCCCCCGCCCTCTATGTGCTCTTTTAACAGCTGGTAGTACAAAACACAGTGGCAACGTGTGTATAAGATACACTCACTATAAGCATAAGATATAAAAAATGGAAACTGCAAGAATAGCATCCTAAAAAAATGCATTCTGGGGGTTGTTACAGTGAAATAAAAACAAAAAACAAAACGCAGACATCTGAAAATGTTGAATTTTAGTAAAAACACTTCTTATAGCTTGATACTGTCATTACAAACAAAGTGAATATTCAAAGCCTTTGGGCGTGCATTTGAAATTCAGTAAGTGTCCTTATCAGCTGGAAGTATTAAAGCCATAAGATGACTTTTGAGAGCAGCTAAAAAACATTAAACAACAGCAATGTTGAGCCTGTTCCAAAATTTAAATGTACATGCGTTGATGGCGGGACACTTGTTGAATTATTAAACATATTTTTCTTCAATCTGTAGAGGCTTAAATATCAGCCTAGGGTGGCTCTATTTATCATTGTTGAGTCAGTTATGTTTTTGTGCTAGTTTTTTTGAAGGATTGTGAAAGTGGGGATACATGCTCCTGGCTGAGCATTTCTGCTTACATCTTAGAATCTCAGTTTTAAATGAAAGAGTGTGTGAGGGTGTTAGTTGTGTTGTCCGAAAATAAGCTTATCTACAATGTGTCAGTAAAGAGTGACTTGCACTTCTGGCCCGTTGAGCAATGGTTTAAAAA